CCGGCTCAAACTCCTCAAAAACGGAAAATTTTGATGTTACGTTAAATGGGAACTACCTTGAAACTTGGGACAATATTGATAATTTTTGGTAGGAAGATTTACCGCACAATGAGAATCCAAAATGCCTAATTACAGTCAATTTGGTTGAAAATCCTACTCAAACTACTCAGAAATTGAAATTATTGAGGTTATGTTAAAAGGGAGCTACATTGAAAAGTGGGCCAATATTTATAAATTTTTGTAGGAAGGTTTACCAGCCAATGAAAATCCTTAATACCGAATTACAGCCAATTCGGTTAGAAAATGTGCCAAAACTCGCCAAAAATGGAAATTTTTGAGGTTATGTTATAGAGAGGCTATCTTGAAACTTGGATCAATATGACTAATTTTTGGTAGGAAGATTTGCTACCTTAAGAGAACCCAAAATATCAAATTACAGTCAATTCGCTTGAAAAATGTGCCTATACTACCCAAAAACGGAACTTTTGGAGGTTATGTTATAGGGAGGCTATCTTGAAACTTGAGACAAAATTTATAAATTTTGGTTGGAAAGTTTGCCAGCCAATGAGAACCCAAAATACCAAATTACAGCCAATTCGGTTGAAACCCATGCTCAAACAAGCCAAAAACGGAAAATTTAAAGGTTATGTTATATGGGGTCTACCTTGAAACATGGGTCAATATAGATAATTTTTGGTAAGAAGATTTGCTACCTTAAGAGAACCCAAAATACCAAATTACAGAAAATTTGGTTGAAAACCCTACTCAAACTACCGCAAAAATTGAAATTATTGAGGTTATGTTAAAAAGGGGCTACCTCGAAAAGTGGGCCAATATTTATAAATTTTTGCTATGAAGATTCGGCAGCCAGTGAAAATCCAAAATATTAAATTACAGCCAATTTAGTTAAAAAATGTGTCCAAACTAACCAAAAATTGGAAATTTTTGAGGTTATGTTATATGGAGGCTACCTTGAAACTTGGATCAAAATTGATAATTATTGGTGAGAAGATTTGTAAGGTAATGAAAACCCAAAATATCAAATTACAGCCAAATCGGTTTCCCAATCACCCCAAAAACGGATGTTTGGAAGCTACCGCTCTATGGGAGCTACCTAGAAATTTGTTTCAATATTGATTATATTTGGTAGAAAGATTTGCAACCCATTGAGAACCACAAATACCAAATTACAGACAATTCGGTTGGAAAATGTGCCAAAACTCCCCAAAAATTTACATTTTTGAGGTTATGTTATAGGGAGGCTATCTTGAAATATGGATCAATATGAATAATTTTTGGTAGGAAGATTTGCTACCTTAAGAGAACCAAAAATACCAAATTACAGTCAGGTTGGTTGAAAAATGTGCCCATACTACCCAAAAACGGAAATTTTGGAGGTTATATGGGGGCTACCTTGAAACATGGGTCAATTTGGATAATTTTTGGTAGCAAGATTTGCCAGTCAATGAGAACCCAAAATATCATATTACAGTCAATTCACTTGAAAAATGTGCCCATACTACCCAAAAATAAAATTTTAGAGGTTATGTTATATGGAGGCTACCTTGAAACTTGAAACAAAATTTATAATTTTTGGTTGGGAAGTTTACCAGCCAATGAGAACCCAAAATACCTAATTACAGTCAATTCGGCTGAAAAATATGCCTAAACTCCCCATAAACGGAAATTTCGGAGGTTACGTTACATGGGGTCTACCTTGAAACATGGGCCAATATTGATAATTTTTGGTAGGAAAATTTTGTACCCAATGAAAACCCAAAATACCAAATTACATGAAATTTGGTTGAAAATTTAAGATTTCTAAAAAATTGTATATGAAAGTAAATTTCCATTTTTTCAATATTTCGCAATTTGTTTTATTACAATTTTTTTTATTTCTTTATTTTTGTTTTTTTTTCTTAGGGAGAAGAATTCTGTTTTGTTTACTCAACTTGTTTTATTAGAAAAAAAATGCTAACCCTTTGTTCGCTTTTAAATAAAATAGCTACGATGGGTGCATGTATGTCTGTCTGTATGTTTGAAAAAGTTGTTGGACAAGAACGTCGGACGCAAAAAAAAAATAATTATTTTTTTATTATTATTTAAGAAGCCAGTAAGCTTCCCGCTGAAAGCTATTCAAACAAAAAACAAATGCTGTTAAATAATGAAATTGCAAAAAAAAAAACATCCGACACTCTCGAAGCAAGAAAAAAAATATTTGCACAAAAAATTAATTATGGCAATTTGTTATGGGGAAGGAAGGGAGAGAGAGAAAAGAGGAAATAGAAAAGCAGAGGGTGTTGAAAAGTTGAATATGATGCTTTGGATGTAATAAAATAAAAATTGCTGCTTCAGACCAAGTTTTTCATATGGACCTATGGTGATTATAAGAAATTCTATTAAAGACGGGATCTTAAAGGCTTCAATCTCTATAAACTCATTAAATTAAATTTGTCCACTTAATTATTTCTTTTTTTTTAAAAAATATATATATTCCAATACCCCCATTTGTTTGTATGTATTCCCCACCCCTCCCCCCTTCCTTTTCAGAATCGATGTACGATTTTTTATATGTCTGTGAACGATTATAAACCAGCTGTTATTTAATATCTACATAAATACACCACTTATTGTTGTTATTAGATTGTGGGCTGATATAATATTGTGGCAAATGGATGGAGGGAGTGAGGGAAAGGTGCGGAATATAGAACAAAAGACTGGCTAAAGATTAAGAAATGATTTGCTGATGATGATGATTTCACATCATTATAAAATGACGCAGTGGTAATCTTAAAATTGCGATATGATATGATAGAGCTTAGTAAGGCAGGGAGAAGATATATAGGATAAAGCTCTAAAATTTTGCACAAATATTGATATTAATCTTAGGAGGTGCATCCGAAAATGTCCCTTTTTGGGAGATTGGGCACAGTTTTCAACCGAATTGGCTGTAATTTGGTATTTTGGGTTCTCAATGACTGAAAAATCTTGCTACCAAAAATTATAAATATTGACCCAAGTTTCAAGATAGCTTCCATATAACATAACCTCAAAAATTTCCGATTTTGGGGAGTATGGACGCGTTTTTTCAACCGAATTGGCCGAAAATTGCTATTTTGGGTTTTCACTGGCTAGCAAATCATGCCACCAAAAATAATCAATATTGAACCAAGTTTCAAGGTAGCCTCCATATAACATAACCTTCAAAAATTTCATTTTTGGGGATTTCATGCAGGGTTTACAACCGATGTGGCTGTATTTTGGTATTTTGAATTCTCATTGGCTGGCAAATCTTCATACCAAAAATTATCAATATTGACACATGTTTCAAAGTAGCCTTCATATAAATTAACCTCCAAAATATCCGTTTTTGAGTATTTTAGGCAGGGTTTTCAACCGAAATGACTGCAATTTGGTATTTGTGGTTCTCATTGGATAGAAAGTCTTCCTCCCAAAAATTATCAGTATTGACCCAAGTTTCAAGGTAACCTCTATATAACATAACCTCCAAAATTTCTGTTTTAGGGGAGTTTGAGCATGATTTTTTAACCGATTTTGCTGCAGATTGGTATTTTGGGGTTTCATTGGCTGGCAAAACTTCCTGCCAAAAATTATCAATATCGACTCAAGATTTATGGTGACCTCCATATAACATAACCTCCAAAATTACAATTTTTGGTTAGCATGGGCAGGGTTTGGTATTTCCGATTCTCATTGGCTGGCAAATATTGCTACCAAAAATCAATTATATTGACCCAAGTTTCAATATATCCATATAACCTAACCTCCAAAATTTTCCTTTTTGGGGAGTTTGAGCAGAATTTTCAACCGAATTGGCTGTAATTTGGTATTTCAGGTTTTCATTGGCTGGCAAATCATTCTACCAAAAATGATCAGTATTGGTCCAAGTTTCAACGTAGCCTCCATATTACCTAACATCCAAAATCTCCCTTTTTGGGAATTTTGGACACATTTTTTAACCGAATTGGCTGTAATTTGGTATTTTGGGTTCTCATTGGGTTGAAAATCTCCTTACGAAAAATTATAAATTTTGTACCAAGTTTCAATTTTGTACCATTCAACATAACCTTCAAAATTACGTTTTTTTTTTTTTTGTTTTTGGAAACGAAATGCCTGTAATGTGGTATTTTGGGTTCCCATTGGCTGGCAAATCTTCCTACAAAAAATTATCAATATTGTCCCAAGTTTCAAGGTAGCCTCCATATAACGTAACCTCCAAAATTTCCGTTTTTGGCTAGTATGGACAGGGTTTTCAAACGAATTGACTCTAATTTGGTATTTGTGGTTCTCATTTGCTGGCAAATCTCCTTACCAAAAATTATAAAAATCGGTCGATTTTTTTATTTTAGATTGAAAATAATTATTTGTTAAACCCATTTGTGTTGGGTTGGAACCATCGGAAAACCTTAATTTTTTTTTTGTCAGCTGTTGGCTGTTTAAAAATTCAGGTGAATCACCCCTAATGACCTGTGATAATGACAACAACCACGACAATCAATCTGAGGGGGTGCTTGCTTGGCACTAGGAGATATCTCCAACAATTTGTAATATAATCCGTCAATGTGTTGTCGGACTGATGGTGGATAGGATAGGGTAGGTGGTGATAGGGGGTAGGTGAAGAAGCCTGCAGTAACACAACCACCACCAGCCACCTTGTTTCCGCTGCCAACCCTTACCCAACAGAAATTCCATGTAGTCAGTCGGGGTTACAAAAAAAAACAACAACCATTTCTCAAAACAACGTAATAACCTTAAGTTTTTTGCCTTCGCGTTGTTGCTGTAGATTCACATAAAAATCGCATACACACATACTCGTCTATATATGAGTGTATTTAACAAATATCAAGGTCACACACAGTATTAGAAAACTTAAATCATCATCATTAGAATCGTATTACAAAACTGGAAAAATTAGCAAAAATATTATTTTAAAATTTCAAAAAAATGTTTCTGATAGCTAAGAATATCGAATAACTTACGTAAAATCTTGATTAAAATTCATTTCATAGCCCCCTTTTTTTGAAGAGGACACTGACGATGAAGTTGGTGTTCCTGTTGTTGTTGTGGTGATGGAATTGCTTGAAGACGACGACATTGTAGTATACCAACAAAAAAAAAACAGAAGATGTGATTTTCCTTTTACTTTTTTTGCAGTGGGTTTTCGTTTTCCTTTCTATTTTTTTTCACTTTCAATTTCAGATTTCACAAAATTTTGGTATCAGCCTTCAATCAATTTTTTTTTTTGCAATTAAATATTATTTATTATGCCCCGGAATAACTTGTCAATTTGTAATTCTTCTTCTACTAGTTGTTATTGCTTTTATTATTGTTTGTTTTTGCAGATTTCTCCTCAATGACAGCAGCAAATTCTGTTTTAAACTTCACTTTTCAACTGCACTTTTACAACTGTGGCACACAGTGAACTAAAAAAACAAAAACAACAAATCAACTTCTAAACAAAAAACACCAAACACAATTTGTTTTGTTTATTTCTGTTCTTTTGTTTGTATTTTAATTTCGTTTCGTCCGTTGCGTTGCGTTGTTTTCAAACCATTCGTTGTCGTTTTAATTCTGTTCTGTTTTGTCTATTTAAATTCTCATTTGGTGTATTATTACTGCTGCTCTCCGTCTCTGCTAACGTCGCCGTCATCAAGTTGTTGTTGCTATTTGCCCGTTTTGCGTCAGAGTAAAAAAAAATGATTGTGTTTTTTGTTTTGGTTTAGTTTTTTGCCTTGCAATTGTTGTTGTTGTTACTGCTACTGTTATTATTGTTCTATACTCTTTTCTGCTTCTCATTCGTTTCTTTGTATGTACTTTGTTCCGTGTTGTGTATTATATTTCATTTGGCTTGTTTTGTTTTGATTTCACAGTTGCAATTGACATTTAATGAGATAGGGTTATGTAGATCGACTTTGGTACTAATCGACAAATGATTTTTTTTTTAATAATTTAAGGGCAACAAACAATAAAAAGGGACAGAATTTGTAGAATTGATGGGATTTGGGCAATTAATGGACAAAAAATACAACTCTGATATTTGAATGTCACCGGCTTTATAGTCGACGAATAGGTGGAATGTGTCGATGTGTTTTTCGTGGGTTTTTTTGCAGGATTTGGCGCAGAGTGAAAATCTGGTCAATGGTGGATTTGCCAGGTCTGAAGCCGCATTGGTATGGTCCAATAATGTCATTGACCATTGACTCGTTAACACAGTACGCTGGATTGCACTTTATATGCGATGGGAAGGAGACTTATTCCTCTATAGTCGGCACATATCGTCTTGTCGCCTTTTTTGTACACGGGACACGGGATGCTGAGATTCGAATCATTGGGCATGCATCCTTCTAGACAAATTGTACTAATCAGCTGGTTCATGCTCCTTACCAGCATCTCGCTACCAGTCTTGAATAGTTCGGCTTGTAACCCATCGGCACTTGCTGCTTTATTATTCTTCAGCCGATTGATTGCTATTCTGACTTCATCTTGGCTAGGTGGTATACACTCTATACCGCTACTATTTGATACCAGAAGTTTTTCAAAATTCTCCTTCCAGGTTCTCAGCACGCTTCCTGTATCTGTCACCAGGTTTCCTTCTTTATCTCTACAGGAGGATGTACCTGCACCAAAGCCTTCGGTTTGGTGTTTTACCCGTTTGTAGAATTTTCGGACTTTTTTCTGACTGTTGTACATCTCGCTCACGTTTTTCTTGCTCTTTCTTTTTTTTTGAAAATACGTTTCTCCTCTCTCCTGTTCTCCCGATAGTTCTCCATCGCATTACATGTTGCTACTGTTCGCATGGTTGCCCTATACGCTGCGTTTTTCATATCAGTAGCATTACGACACTCCCGTCTATCACAACATAATCGATTTGATTTCTCGTTGTTCGATCGAGAGAAATCTAAGTGGCCTTCTGAAGTCTGATGTTTCTTCATGGAGGTTAAATTTTCCGACGGTGGGGCAAAATATATCTTCACTTCCGATTTTTGCATTAAAATCTCCTAGCAGAATTTTAATGTCATTGCCAGGGCAACGATCATATGCTGTTTCATATGCTACGCCACCCAGGTATTCCTGGTTATCATTGGGTAGAGAATTTTCCTTTTTCGCATCAACTACTTCTCGGGCCTTCCCAACATTTGAGCCGATGTCCTTTTCTGGGGTCTCGACAGATTACCCATCGTCGGACATCGCCTCCGTCGCAGATTGCTTCTGAAGTTTGTCGGCAGGGTCTGCGCTTCATTCGTTGATACTACAGCAATCCCCCTGTGTAGACTTGGCTGGGATCATCGTGGTGTCCAGCTCATCATCAGTTAGTGTAAGATTCAGTAGCAGTTCCTTTGGAAGCGTATCCCCACATTGCTCTTCCGGTACCAGTCTGTCTAACTGGTCGAAGAGTTCCTTACTTTGCTCCTGTAGACTATCGCGGATAGTGTTTAGAGTCCCGTGTAGGTCGTCACCTCCCATAACTACAGTCCTGTCAGCCAGAGACTGATTTTCATCAGTCTTGACATGCTCATTTGCCAAAGGAATAGCCGGTTCGGGTAGCCCTCATATAATGGCACCCCCGAATATTCGGTATTTGGACATTATGGACACTCTTTTCAACCGAATTGAAAGCAATTTTTTTGTTGGTTTTGCACCCGGTGGATATATCCTCTATATAACGGTATCACTCATTTCCAGTATTTTGAGGATTTTGGTATTTATTCAGTACGTTGGGGGTTTTGAACACGTTCTCAATCTTCCTACAAAAAATTATCAATATAGGTTAACGCTTAACTACAGCTCTCATGTAATAGTACCACCGCATATTCTCTTTTATCATTCACTTTCTAATTAAATTGTTTTTTTGTTATGATAGGTCAAGAGATTATAATATACCCCCCTCAAATATTTTCTAATGAACACTGCTCATTTATATTTATTCAACACAAATGACGAAATACATTCCTGATGTGAATGTAGCATTACTTTCTAGTCTTCATGTTATCAATTCACTGTGCATTACCCAATTGGAAAAGCGCCGCATTGCCATTGCCGCCATTTGCTATTTAGTGTGACTCGGTTCTTTGACTGCAGCTGCTGTGAGGGTATTTGTAGTGTAAACAATACTGTTCTCATTTAATTTCCATCCCACCTCATTCGTAATATTTCGGATATAACATTTTGAGTTCATCTTTATCGAAAATTTTGTCTTCACAACCACAGTAAAACGATAAAAAACGCTTGAAGTTGTTGTGGATTGCGCTTTGGAGTTTTTGCGTGCGTTAACGAGATAACATAAAAAAACGCTTAACGCGACCATTCTGTTTAGCCCTAGACTTTTCAATATGGAAAGTCGATTAATTGATTAGTCTAAAGTCGATTTACTTATGCCGATGCCTTGCCGCCGTTTGCTATGTCAATTTAGTATGACTCGGTTCTCTGTGTTGGCCACAACACTTTCTTCTTCGATTTTGCTTTTTTTTGTTTTACTTCTCCGATAGAGTTAACGAAAAATTACCTACGAAAATTAAATAAATATTAAAACAAGTGCCTTTATTTATAACATACAATAAATAAGTAAAAAATTTAAGCGCAATTATTAAACAAATAACCGAAAAAACGTAGTAGTGTAACCAAAAAAAAACAAACGCGGCGCTAACACGTAAAGAGAAAAACCAAACCAGCAGCAGACGACAATAAGAAAAAGAAAAAAGTCTTAACCAGACGAACGAGACGAGGAAAAAAGCAGTAGTGTAGAGTAGTTGTTGATTCGGAAAGAAAATGTAAATGGAATTCTGGTGACGCTGCTTAAGAATAACAAGAATTCAAGTTAGAATCGGCCAGCAACGACAACAAAAAATACCACAATTGTTGCTGCCGCTGTGTTAACGTGAGATTCTACCAAAAAAAAAGAAAGAAAGCAACAGCTAGAAGTGTTTTTTGTGGTGTTACGTACATTCCTATATATGTATGTAACTAAGTGTGCGTGTGTGTGCATGTTTAATATTGTGCTGCAGCCAGCCAGTGTTCTTTAGAAATTTTGTGGATTCTTGCCGTGATTCTTAACGTGAACGACACGAAAAAAATAATAGAAATAAAAAAGCCTTACAACAACAATACAAACCACAAAAAACAAAATTCTTCTTGTTTTCTTCATTCAACCTGGAGCAGTGGAAAATCCAACAGCAACACCGTTTAAAAAATGCCATTAAAATTTCTCAAGAAATGTCGACAATATAATGTGACATCGAAAAGTCTTTTTGTTATATCGGTGCATCATTTATTGGGTGAGTAGTGAGAGTGACAATGAGTGTGTGCGTGCGTGATGTTGTTTGCTTTTTTTGTTTTGTTTGTGTATTTTATTTCGTTTATAATGAAGAGATCAATCAATTTGCTGTAAATGAATTGTAATAATGTAGAGGAGGGAGGGTGAGAGAGGCAATAAAATTGTTGAGTGTGGGCGGGGGGAGTTATGATGGCATATGCCATTGTGTCTGTCAGTGTGCACGCTCAAGTATCACTTTGCAATGCAATTAATTAGTAGATGGAGTACTGGGGCTAATTTCATTACTATTCTCTCATTACATTACATTTGATTGTTGTAGATTGTTCCCACCAAGAGCTCTGCTGGCAAAATTAAGGAATGTCGTCTGATCATGTTGTTGCTTACAGTCCATTTATTGTTTTTGTCATTACGCGCCATCCATCCATCGTTCCACTTGACTTTCTTTGTTGTCGTCATCGAAGGGCTAGGGAGAGCGTAGGTGTATGAGAGACAGAGAGAGATAGTTCATTGCTTGCTATGCCATTTTTTTTACAAAAGAACAACAAGTGCATTGACGCGCTTAATTTTTCTTGTTCACCTCTCTCTCACTCTCTCACAAATGCCGTTTGCTTTGTTTTGTTGTTGCATGCACTCCACACAATTGTGTTAAACTAGGCATGCTTACCCATATACGCTACCGTAACTGACGATCGATTGGTAACAATGGTGGGCAAAATTTCTCTTAAAAAATGTTTAAGCGAAATTAAAAACATGAATTATTCTTCGGAATTCATTAAATTTAATATTTTTAAATCATAAATAATATCCAAGGGAGTTCAAAAAATAAATGCATTAAAAATTTTTCGGAAAAAAATTTCATTAATGGTTATTTTTGTTTTAACATCAAAAAATGTTAAGAGAACGCATCAACGCTGGTGTGCAAGTCTGCCCAACTATGATTGGTAAACACATTTTCTCTTTATTTCTCTTTACGTCAGTCGTTTTTTAATGTGAATTCTCAGTTACGCTCGCACACGCTTGCTCTCAATTTAATTTTGCCCAACACTGTGTTAAACTGTGTTGCTGCTGTTACATTGTTGGGCATTTGTCACATTGCAGTCAAATGGCATGCATGCATGATTTGGATAAAGTTGATTGGTTTTGCTACTTTCTGTAAATGAATTGATCTATTTCAAAGTCTTTTGTTGCTTTTTTTTGTTATTGCTGGAATGTAGAGGAAAATACCACCTGTGAGGTATTACATTTTGAATGGAGTTTGGCGTCTTTGTAAGTTGCTTTTGTAAAATATATTTTTAATTATAATGGCAATGGTAGAATTGCAGGCACACTCCAGACAATTTTGTGAGGTTATTTAATGGAGATGTAGAGGAAATGTGGCAATTAGAATTTTTGCGCCAAAAAAGGACCGCATTTGGGAAAATGCCATTTAATAGTGAATTTTGAAAAATGTCATATTATGGGGTATGAATAATCTGGAAGAAACAAGTGCCGCCTTGATTTAATTCTTAGTGTTAGGTGAGTTATTGTGATATTTTTTGGAAACAATTTCAAAAGTTATTTTTAGGTTATAATCAAATTGTGACATCCAGTAGAGAAGGTGAAAGCTATGACTTCATTGCGAAATGTACCCTGAACATGCCCATTTATTGTATTATCATTAAAAAATGTCCGCTCGATGCAAGATTATGAGACAATACCCCAAGTCATTGATGTTCAATAATCAGCATCAGCATAACATCAGTTTTGAAATCCGGAGGAGAATAGTGTTGGCCAACAGATGCTACTATGGTCTGAGTAAGCGACTCAAAAGCATGGCCACCTCTCGCCAGACCAAACTCACACTCTACAAGACGCTGATATTGCCCGTGCAGATGAGGCAGCTCTTGGAGTGTTTGAAAGAAAAATTCTCCGGAAGATTTATGGGCCGATCTGCATCGACGGTGGATAACGTCGTCAAATGAATCGTGAGCTATCTATTCTCGGACATTGACATAGTCAAACGGTTAGAGCTGCAGCGACTACGTTGGCTAGGTCATGTTTTGAAAATGGATGATGAGGATTCCCCCACTCAGAAGGTATATAAAAGCGAGCCAAGTCGTGCCACGGAACACGATCTTTCAATTTGGATAAGACCGACGGGCTTGGAATTTTTTTTTTTGAATCGCGGCTTATGGAACAACCGCAACAGTAATGAGTCTATAATAATGTGTGTTAAGTTTAATCGAAATCGGTACAGATTTTGATATAGCTCCCATGTATAAGTTAGTCCGATTTTGTGAAAATTGCGCTCCAAATTCCTATATTTCCTTCGATTTACACTAAATTACGCATGTCGAGTTACATTGAGCCTAGAATGATGTCTGCTAAGTTTTTCATTGAAATTGGCTTGTTTCCAACCCTACGACAAACTTTGTTTACCCACCCATTTCATAATGACAAGCCCATACAAATGTTGTTAAAAAAAAAAATATGCATTCACTCATCAAAATGATTTCGACGACGTCAATGAACACTGTAAATATTTGGATCGACGGACCGGTAGATAGGCTCGCAGGTTGGCTGCCTGGAAAGCAGTGCAGGTGTTGTGTATTTTATTTGCACACACACATTTTTTCGTCGCAGTCACTGCATTTTCGTGCACATTGTTTTGCTTTTTTTGTGCTGCGCATGCTTAACCAACCATATACAGGTACAGGCAATGAGTGATTGCTCTCTGGCAATCATCGCGCCATCGTCGTCATCTCTTCATCATCATTATTGCATGGAAAACACATAAAAAAACATTTTTGAAATTCCTTTTTTGGGGTGAAATAATCATGAATGCAGTTTTGAATTTCTTTTTCTTTATCACAGAATGAAAGGGAAATGTGAAAAAATATTTATATTTAAAAAAATACTGGTTTATGGTATTTTATTGAAAACATAATTTTCAAAAATGCATGCCTTTGTTGAGCCTTTAAAATACTTACTTACATGGCTAGTGACAGAACTTCCGAGCTTTAAAAAGATTTCCAGGCGCGTCGGTCTTTTGCGCAGTTTTTCCAATTTGAAATACCATTTTCGGCAATGTTGCCTTCCACTTGATCTTTCCATCTTATTCGTGGCCTTCCCCTTTTGCGTGAACCATCAGCTGGTTCGCTTTTATATGCCTTCTGGGCTGGGGCATATTCATCCATTCTCACAACATGACCTGGCCAACATAGTCGTTGAAGATCAATACGTCTAATAAATTCAATATTCATCGTCAAAGCCGATCGGCCCATAGATCTTTCGGAGAATTTTTCCCTCATCAACCTCATTTGCTGGCGTAAGTACCCATGGCTCAGATCCATATAACAGCACGGATAGTATCAGCGGCTTGTAAAGTGTGAGTTTGGTCTGGCGGGAGGTGGCCTTGTTTCTAAACTGCTTACTCAGACCATAGTAGCATCGCTAGCAACCGATGCATCGGTTGACCATCAATATCTATCTCCGAAAAAAATATTATTTTAAAAATCCACGCCTTGTTGGGGTTTGAAAAAATATTATTTTAAAAATCCACGCCTTGTTGGGGTTTGAAAAAATATTATTTTAAAAATCCACGCCTTGTTGGGGTTTGAAAAAATATTATTTTAAAAATCCACGCCTTGTTGGGGTTTGAAAAAATATTATTTTAAAAATCCACGCCTTGTTGGGGTTTGAAAAAATATTCTTTTAAAAATCCACGCCTTGTTGGGGTTTGAAAAAATATTATTTTAAAAATCCACGCCTTGTTGGGGTTTGAAAAAATATTCTTTTAAAAATCCACGCCTTGTTGGGGTTTGAAAAAATATTCTTTTAAAAATCCACGCCTTGTTGGGGTTTGAAAAAATATTCTTTTAAAAATCCACGCCTTGTTGGGGTTTGAAAAAATATTCTTTTAAAAATCCACGCCTTGTTGGGGTTTGAAAAAATATTCTTTTAAAAATCCACGCCTTGTTGGGGTTTGAAAAAATATTATTTTAAAAATCCACGCCTTGTTGGGGTTTGAAAAAATATTATTTTAAAAATCCACGCCTTGTTGGGGTTTGAAAAAATATTATTTTAAAAATCCACGCCTTGTTGGGGTTTGAAAAAATATTCTTTTAAAAATCCACGCCTTGTTGGGGTTTGAAAAAATATTCTTTTAAAAATCCACGCCTTGTTGGGGTTTGAAAAAATATTATTTTAAAAATCCACGCCTTGTTGGGGTTTGAAAAAATATTATTTTAAAAATCCACGCCTTGTTGGGGTTTGAAAAAATATTATTTTAAAAATCCACGCCTTGTTGGGGTTTGAAAAAATATTATTTTAAAAATCCACGCCTTGTTGGGGTTTGAAAAAATATTCTTTTAAAAATCCACGCCTTGTTGGGGTTTGAAAAAATATTATTTTAAAAATCCACGCCTTGTTGGGGTTTGAAAAAATATTATTTTAAAAATCCACGCCTTGTTGGGGTTTGAAAAAATATTCTTTTAAAAATCCACGCCTTGTTGGGGTTTGAAAAAATATTCTTTTAAAAATCCACGCCTTGTTGGGGTTTGAAAAAATATTATTTTAAAAATCCACGCCTTGTTGGGGTTTGAAAAAATATTATTTTAAAAATCCACGCCTTGTTGGGGTTTGAAAAAATATTCTTTTAAAAATCCACGCCTTGTTGGGGTTTGAAAAAATATTCTTTTAAAAATCCACGCCTTGTTGGGGTTTGAAAAAATATTCTTTTAAAAATCCACGCCTTGTTGGGGTTTGAAAAAATATTCTTTTAAAAATCCACGCCTTGTTGGGGTTTGAAAAAATATTCTTTTAAAAATCCACGCCTTGTTGGGGTTTGAAAAAATATTCTTTTAAAAATCCACGCCTTGTTGGGGTTTGAAAAAATATTCTTTTAAAAATCCACGCCTTGTTGGGGTTTGAAAAAATATTCTTTTAAAAATCCACGCCTTGTTGGGGTTTGAAAAAATATTCTTTTAAAAATCCACGCCTTGTTGGGGTTTGAAAAAATATTCTTTTAAAAATCCACGCCTTGTTGGGGTTTGAAAAAATATTCTTTTAAAAATCCACGCCTTGTTGGGGTTTGAAAAAATATTCTTTTAAAAATCCACGCCTTGTTGGTGTTTGAAAAAATATTCTTTTAAAAATCCACGCCTTGTTGGGGTTTGAAAAAATATTCTTTTAAAAATCCACGCCTTGTTGGGGTTTGAAAAAATATTCTTTTAAAAATCCACGCCTTGTTGGGGTTTGAAAAAATATTCTTTTAAAAATCCACGCCTTGTTGGGGTTTGAAAAAATATTATTTTAAAAATCCACGCCTTGTTGGGGTTTGAAAAAATATTCTTTTAAAAATCCACGCCTTGTTGGGGTTTGAAAAAATATTCTTTTAAAAATCCACGCCTTGTTGGGGTTTGAAAAAATATTCTTTTAAAAATCCACGCCTTGTTGGGGTTTGAAAAAATATTCTTTTAAAAATCCACGCCTTGTTGGGGTTTGAAAAAATATTCTTTTAAAAATCCACGCCTTGTTGGGGTTTGAAAAAATATTCTTTTAAAAATCCACGCCTTGTTGGGGTTTGAAAAAATATTCTTTTAAAAATCCACGCCTTGTTGGGGTTTGAAAAAATATTCTTTTAAAAATCCACGCCTTGTTGGGGTTTGAAAAAATATTCTTTTAAAAATCCACGCCTTGTTGGGGTTTGAAAAAATATTCTTTTAAAAATCCACGCCTTGTTGGGGTTTGAAAAAATATTCTTTTAAAAATCCACGCCTTGTTGGGGTTTGAAAAAATATTCTTTTAAAAATCCACGCCTTGTTGGGGTTTGAAAAAATATTCTTTTAAAAATCCACGCCTTGTTGGGGTTTGAAAAAATATTCTTTTAAAAATCCACGCCTTGTTGGGGTTTGAAAAAATATTCTTTTAAAAATCCACGCCTTGTTGGGGTTTGAAAAAATATTCTTTTAAAAATCCACGCCTTGTTGGGGTTTGAAAAAATATTCTTTTAAAAATCCACGCCTTGTTGGGGTTTGAAAAAATATTCTTTTAAAAATCCACGCCTTGTTGGGGTTTGAAAAAATATTCTTTTAAAAATCCACGCCTTGTTGGGGTTTGAAAAAATATTCTTTTAAAAATCCACGCCTTGTTGGGGTTTGAAAAAATATTCTTTTAAAAATCCACGCCTTGTTGGGGTTTGAAAAAATATTCTTTTAAAAATCCACGCCTTGTTGGGGTTTGAAAAAATATTCTTTTAAAAATTCACGCCTTGTTGGGGTTTGAAAAAATATTCTTTTAAAAATTCACGCCTTGTTGGGGTTTGAAAAAATATTCTTTTAAAAATTCACGCCTTGTTGGGGTTTGAAAAAATATTCTTTTAAAAATTCACGCCTTGTTGGGGTTTGAAAAAATATTCTTTTCGAAATCCACGCCTTGTTGGGGTTTGAAAAAAATATTCTTTTAAAAATCCACGCCTTGTTGGGGTTTGAAAAAATATTCTTTTAAAAATCCACGCCTTGTGTAAATGCTATAAACAAAATATTTTTTTAAAGCCACGCCTTTGTTGAGACCTTTAAAAATATTTTTAAGAAATCCACACTTATTGAAAAAATCGGAAGTAAATTATTGCCTCTTTAAGGGCCTTAAAGTCACAACCTTTTAAGGCAAGGCATCTTGTCCGTCATGAATATAATTTTGTCATAATTTTATTACCCATCCAAAACCAAGAAAAAATATGACTATCAGGTTACACATCTCAATTTTGATTTATAAAAAAAAATATTTTTTTTTGACGACATTTTCAATTTCAAACATTCCATATTTTTTTATATTTTCTTCCTACTGGCGTTTTATTTTTTTTATTTAACCATAATTTATCTTTATATGACAAGTTTAGCCGACCATAAAACAAACACAAAATCGAAAAAAAATATTCCATATACCTACCAAAAAATTCAATACACAATAAATATTTAGAATTCTCGAAATTCTCTAATTTGTATGCAAATCGTGTGACAGTGTTGTTGGCCAACCGTGTTCGGTTGGTGGGCTAGCTGGCTGGATGACTGGCTTTTGGTTTTATTACCAATATTTTTTATTGTTTTTGTTGTTGCTGGTCTCACATTTTCCATATTTGTTTTTATATATTTTTTATTTATTTATAAGTTATTAATTACTTTTGTTGGGATTTGCTGTGTGGTGTTAATTGTTTTATAAGAAATAAAATCTCGCTGTGGATAATTTCCTAGCAACCAATAATCGTCGTGATTCAAAGTGTTGTTGTTGTTTTTGTTATTTATTATTACAATTCTTATTAAATATTGTGTGGCAATTTTTATTATAAATATTGTCACCAATTTTGTTTTTAATTTTTTCTTCTGGAATGTCTTGCTGTTACCACTGGGAGACAATATTGTTATGAGATGGTGAGCGGATCAATAATTGGGGTTTAGGTTTAAAATATTCATTGATTTTTTTTAATTCCAAGAAATCGACCCCTATTTGTAGTCCATAAACCATGGCTATTGATGGTCCAAGAAATTTTTTTTTTAATGTTATGGCTTTTGGTGGTCAATTGACAATTTTTATACCCTTCACCACACTGTGGTACAGCAGGGTATTATGTCTTTGTGCATATGTTTGTAACAGACAAAAGGAAACGAGATAGACACGTGGATTCTTTTGAGAATATGCATAGAATCACTTTCTGAGTCGATTTATGCATGTCCGTCCGTCCGCCTGTCCATGTTAAATTGTAAACTAAGTACGGGTCGCATTTTTAATTCGAATTGGATGAAATTTGGCTCAGCTCATTTATTTGGGCCATGGACGAACCCTATTGAAATTGGGAAAAATCGGTGCACCAAAGTTCCTATATATCTTTCGATTTTCACGAAATTTGGCACAGAGTATTGAATTAGGCCTAGAATGATGTGTGTTAAGTTTCCTGAAAAACGGGTCAGATTTCGATATAGCTCCCATATATATTTTCGTCAAATTTATCATTCGATTTGCACGAAATTCGGTATAGGGTACTGAATTGAGTTTAGAACGATGTGTGTCGAATTTCGTAAAAATCGCTTCAGATTTAGATATAGCTCCCATATATATTTTCGTCCGATTTTAGGTAAATATTGCACCAAAGTCCCTATATATCCTTTCATTTGCACGAAATTTGGTATAGCTCACTAAATTGAGTCTAGAATGATGAGTGGTAAGTTTTGGGAAAATCAGTGCAGATTTCGATATAGCTCCCATATGTATTTTCGTCAAATATATCATTCGATTTGCACGAAATTCGGCATAGGGCACTGAATTGAGTCTAGTACGATGTGTGTCGATTTTCGTAAAAATCGCTTCAGATTTAGATATAGCTCCCATATATATTTTCGTCCGATTTTAGGTAAATATAGCACCAAAGTCCCTATATATTCTTCGATTTGCACGAAATATGGCATTGCATACGGAATTGATTCTAGAATGATGTGTGCGCCTGGCCAGTGATGGCAGGCGGAAACTGGGAATCTTACGTTTCCACCAATTCTGTCATAGCGTGGGCTTACTCCAAGATCTTTGGCATATGACCAGTTAGACAGAGTTGAAAGGGCACCCTCCAAAATATCTGTAATTGTCGTTAGAAATTTACAACCAACCAGCAGGACTACATCATCGGCATGGGCTACAACCTTTATCCTAAGACGATCGAACTTCAGCAGTATCTCATTTATCACCAGAAGCCACAAAAGAGGGGATAGTGGTGTGCCTCTGTGACAGATTTCCTCACGGAACTCTCTCCTAAGGATGAGTTGATAATTCTGCTCTCCAGCATTCTATCAATCCATTCTGTTAGAAGTGAAGGGTTACCTGAGCTTACGAGAGCTGAATGGATGGCTTCTAGCTTCACATTGTTAAAAGCTCTCTCAATGTCGAGGAATGCTGCCAAAGTGTAGCCAGAGGACTCCATATTCTTGATGCATCCAACCACCCACCTCATGTAAGGCTGTATCCACTGATTGGGAGTTGCTATGTTTACTTTGGTCAATAGTGTTTCTTGTCTTGTAACCTTTCTAAAGTCTTGAGCAAAAAGGAAGAGAGGCTAATCGGTCGATAATCTTTTGGTAACGTATGACTTGGCTTCCCGGCTTTCGGGATGAAAGTCACTGTTACCTCTTTCCATAGACTAGGTATGTACTATAGAAGTAGACAAGCCCTACTCGTTCATGTGCGTGTTGCAGCATGGCCGGTATTATAACATCTGGACCAGGAGACTTGTAGGGTTGAAAACTATTTATCGCCCATACCAGTTTTGGGTAGCTTATAGTTTTTTCTATCAACTTCTCCTCCTCCCTCGTTCGAACTATATAGGCTGATGCGCACACTGCACACCCTCCCTATTGTCCTTACAACCAGGAAAGTGGGTTGACGATAGAAGATCAAGAGTTTCACTACCAGAGTTTGTCCACGTTTGATCACTTCGCTTAATACTATCTATAGATTTTTGATCTCAACCGTTTTTAGATCTTTATGATCCAGCATTGAGGCTGCTGTTTTTGCTTTGAATTTGCCCCAGTTTGTCTTCCGAGGATTCCTATAAGGCTTCTGTTTACCTCTGGAGGTAGATTTTGGATCTCAACCGTTTTTAGATCTTTATGATCCAGCATTGAGGCTGCTGTTTTTGCTTTGAATTTGCCTCAGTTTGTCTTCCGAGGATTCCTATAAGGCTTCTGTTTACCTCTGGAGGTAGGAATCTGGAAAGATATCAGTCTATGATCCGAAAAGGAGCATTTCTCAGACACCTTGACTTGAAAAAGTATTTTTAAAAATTCCACGCCTTTTTTTAATAAAAATTCTTTTAAAATTTAGATCTAATTTTTATTTTCTCCTTTTCCAGATACCACCACCACAGTCGATTGTACCATCAGTTCGGAAAGTAAAGGTCAAGAATGCCTGGACAATGTCTGCACCCGTTTACTCATACAACAACCGGAATTTTTCGGTTTACGCTATGTGGTCAAGGGTAAAGAAGATGAAATGAAATGGATCGATTTGGAGCGTTCGCTAAGTCGTCAATTGGAAAAATATGCCGCAGGGACGAAAATCTTTTTACGGGTTCGCCACTATGTTACCACTGGGGTGCGGCATTTAAGCGATGAAGTTACCCGTTACTATTATTTCCTCCAGCTAAAAAATGATATATATGAGGGGAAAATTGCCTGCGATATTCGCACGGCCATATTGTTGGCACTGTATTGTCGGCAGGCGGAATACGATAGTTATCAGAGCGATAAACAGAGTAAAGATTATTTGAAAAAGTCATTGGTGTTGCCGAAAAATCTACAAGGTAAGCAGCCATGGTGGTGACAAAGATCCACTCACACATCATGATCAAGATCTTCATAGCCATTATCGATGAGGTGGTGTGGAATAATGATTTGAAATCTACTCTCCTCCTCCCCCCGCCACCCCTTTTTTTGAGTCAATGCAAAATATTTGAAATAGTTTTTAAGTATCTTTTTTTTCTTATCAGATTGAGTTTTTTTGTTTTTATTGTTGCTGCACATGCCATGCCAGATCGGTCGTGCCGTATGGTATTCAAATTTGTACTAACTTCAACGCAAGCCCGCAAAAAATGTTAATTGTTTTATTTATTTATTTACTTACTTATACGCCGATAAGATATGCTTATTTCCCCGTAGAAGAAAAGAAAAATAAATATTTGTCCAATGGCCATATCCGCAACGACGCCACCACCACCACCATTATCATAGAGATAGATAGAGGAGGCGGTAGGTAGGAAGTTGACGCTGGAAGCGCAAGGTGGTGATTCATCAACATTGTTGTGTGCAAAAAAACTTTGTATTTCCTAAAATTGACGTCAAAATACAATAGCAACAACACCTCCACCATCGGCGCAATATGCTATTGTCAGTCAATATGTCTGTGATTTGGCTTCTTGAATAGGATTTATTATACTATGAGCAATCAGCAGAATATCTGAGCTGAAAAGTAGGAGAATTACTAGGAAAAAATGATTCAAAAAAATCCACGCCTTGTTAGTGTTACCTTACCTTTATACAGGTAAAGTTTCTGGATGAGCACGACGTCCGTATTTGAGGAAGAGAGGGTGAGTAGCAGTTCAGCAGCTGCTGCTCTACAGTGATGCAGATTGATCTGCACCACGTTCAACGCTTGCTGCCGTCCGCATATTGTTTTGGAGATGGGAGGCGGAAACAGAGTTTCCCCATTTCATAACAAAGCTCACCCTTATTCTTCCTCAAATATTGCTCTCCCGCAGAATACCGTACCGCTCTTCCTTTCAAACGAGGCGAGAATTCTCCACCTCTTCATCTGAAGGCCGTCGTTCTGCTTCTCCATTATCCTTAGTGTATTCTCCAGCCTCTCAAAAGGTGGTTGTACCGCTACAGCTGCCAGTCTGCTGCCTTCCCAAAGAGGATCCAGGTTGTTAATTGTCTTCTTAAGGAACCTTGACCCCTTTGTATAAGAAGGTCAGGCCAAACTGTAGGCTCTGTCGATCAACCTCGTCGGATAGGAAGAGGTCCTTCAGATGACTGTCGACCAGCAACCATTTATCCTCGCTGATAAACCCGTCAGGGTCAGCTCGGTCAATGATTGCTACTCGTAGATCATTCGGTACCTCCTGTGGAGCAGCAGAGTCGCTGTGTGCTGTTGTAGGTTTCTGGGCTACCTGTTTCGAGACAGCGTGTTTGGCTTTCACCACACAATTACCGCTCTTTGCAGGTTTCTCTTTCGACGCAACAACCGACGCAAACGAAGCAGAGCTTTGTACAACCGACGACTGCGTGGTCTCTTTGCAGCAGGTTGTTGTTGCTCTGAGGACCGTGGGCTGTGGCCGAGATTTGGCATCCGTTGCAACGGCTGCAGAGATATTCCGGGCAGACGCAGGCACCTGCTTCGTGCTCGCTACTTTCGGCGCATTCACTAGCAACTGCCCAATTGTCACAGCCTTGGTTATCGGCTTTGGGAATTCGAGAGATGGTGGATTGGCAGAGGGTGTTTGTGTTTTATCGGTCTTCTTGGAGGCCTTTTTACGGGCTCTCCTTCAGGCCGACTTCGACAGTCCCCTACCTTCCGTCTTTGTGGATGCTAATGTCTGGGACGTCTCTGTACTCAGTTTGCCCTTGAGGGTGCTGAGGGCTTAGAAGTCATAGGCATCAGCTTCCTGGATGTACTAGGGCCACTAACAGATTTCTCCTTCTTTGAAGGGACTACTGTGGTAGTCATAGTACTGGGTCGGGGGATCCTATCAATCAAGAAGTCCCTCTCAATATCATCATCAGTTCCTGGAGAATTTGTGGTTCCTCTTGATTAAAAGGAACTCCTTGTTAGTATCCCCGAAATTTTTTTTTAATTTTTTTTTTCATGTTAGGGTCCCGAAAAAAAATATTTAAAAAATCGACGCCTTTTTAGTGTCTTCGAAAAAATTATTTAAAAATCCACGCCTTGTTAGGGTCCCCAAAAAAAAATATTAAAAAAAAAATCCATGCCTTGTTAGGGCCCCGAAAAAAATTATTTAAAAAAATGTTCTCTTTTTGTCTTTCCAGGTTTGGCAAATGATGACAACCTTTTGGATAGTCTCATACTCGAAGTTCTGCAACAGCATTCGGGTATACAACATTTGACAACATCTCAAGCCGAAGAAATGTATATCCAATGTTGCCAACAGCTGGAAGGCTATGGCGAGGAACGTTTTCAGGCTAAAGATAATCTTGGGAATGATATTAACCTTGGACTGGCCATTAATGGTATGGTTGTGACAGCAGAAAATGGTCGTCAATATTTCCCCTGGAAAGATTTTCACACGGTCACCATTGATAAGCGAACCATACGCATCGAACAAAATAAATCCGATGGTTCGCTGTTTGTGGGCTCCTTCATATTTTCCGAGGCGGATACGGCCCGTTATTTTTGGAAGCTTTGCATAACACAACATAAATTCTTTAAACGTTATATCGATGAGGATTCCTCATCGAGTATGGGTGATGTGGAGAGTGCCAATGGCATATCGATTGGTGGTGGAGCGGAGGCCATTAATTCATCGGCTTTTAGTGGCTATGATTTGAGTGATTCGCGAGAGGATTTATTGCTGGAACAACGTGCCATTTATGTGCCTGGTGCAAATAATTCTGTAACGATTGGTGGTGGCAATGGTGGTTATCAACACGCCACGGGAACACCACAACAAGCTCAGGACTATATATCCTCGGTACAGTCACTGCATCATCAATCGAATAGTCAATTGCCACCACATGGCATGATAAACTCGGCCAACTCATCATCGGCCTTAATGTCTTCCAATATTTCCTTGGCAGCTAGTCATCAATCGGGTAGTGGTGGTGGAAGGACGACAGATAATAATGGGATTAATGGTAGTGCCCTGCATATGCAGGGCGGAGGACATCTTGGTGGTAGTCAATTGGGACAGAGTTGGTTGAGCAAGGTGAGTTGTTTGTCTTAAAAATATTGGATCCCATTTCTTATTAATTTGTTTTCTCGATTTTTTCTAGGAATACTCCCACGATTATGTTTCATCTTCGCAACACCTGTCCAACAGCATTTTGGATACCCGCCTGCAGAGCAGTTCCTGTCAAGATCTAAGCAATAACAACTTACACAGTAGTTCGAGTTTTTTAGGTCACAACAACAATCATCTATTGGCGGCCGATGCCCATGAAAGGGAACGTCTCAAGGCCATGTTGCCAACATATCGCCCGGCACCGGATTATGAAACTGCCGTCCAATTGAAATACCGTTCACCCTCCAATGAATTGTATAATTTAAATCAGCTTCAGTATCAAGCTGCTGCCTTGGCTGCCCATAATTCCGCTGCCGTCTACTATGCCGGGTCCCAGCCGGATGTACATCAAGCTGGTGCTGGTGGTGGAGAGAGTGGTTTAATGTTGGGCCACTTGGCCACACATCGTTATCCAGATGTGGCCCAGCCAGCCCAAGCCATGCATGCCCAATACAATTTAAACGCTGCCTCACAGGTGGCTGGCGGTGGCTCCGCCCAGGGCAATAATGTCTATGTCGATGTTTCGCAGCGTCTGCAAATGATGAGAACGAAACCACCACCTCCCTATCCGGTGAATCGTCTATCGTCCTCATCCACGCCAGATTTGGCAGTGGCCTCACATCGTACCCTATTGGGTTATCGGGCATATGTTTCGGGATCCTCACCTGATTTGGTCTCCAATCGTAATCTATTAAATTCCCAATATCCATATGGTGGGGGTGCAGGTGGCGGTCAACCTTCCGGTTTGGTGGGTGGTCATGGTGGTCAGATAACCACCTCCTCTGGAGCCACAATGTTACATCAATACCCCTATATGGGTCACATGGGCCACTCCCAGTCCTATCTACCACCCCATGGTACATTTGAGAACTTAAATATGATCGAAGAACAGCCATCAATTATGTCACAATTACGGCAATCGGCATTGTCACAGGCTGCTGCGGCAGCTGCCCAGGCGGCTGCCAATAATCAAAATAACTATGAACAAAATTCTTCACCCACATTACCGCCCTCCGGCTATCGTTCTTCATCCGCACAGCAGCAGCAACAGCAGTCGACACAAGCTGCCGGTGTTCTGCAACGTAATGCCATGAATGGTTCCATCGAACCCATATATGAGAATGTGCCACTGCCCCACTATCAGTCATCGTCATCGGTGGTGACACCACCACAACGCAATACCGAACAACGTTCGTCGGGCTCATCATCCACATACAATAGTGAACAGGCGGCAATGCGTAATCGTACGTCTTCCATACAATCGGCACCGGGTGGTATACATCAGCAGCAGCAGCAACCACCAGTGCCGGCAGCACGTCATCACCATTTGCAGCAACAACAACCACAATACCTGCAGCAAGCTCCCGATGAGCCAGATGAAATTTCAATGAACATCAAGAAATTCAGTCATCAGACACAACAAGATCGTGCAGCTAGTACAGATATGCAATTACTGGATCCAACCCCACCGCAGAGAGCAATGCGTGCGGCCTCAGCAGCCCCTGCCATTGGCCAGACCTCCTCCTCAAATAGTCATGATCCCCCCATAACACCCATTAAGGTTACACCTCCCCCCAGGCAGCATAGAAATATGAAAAATTCCTCCTCCTCAACGGTATCGGCTGCAGATCTTCCACCCGCTTCCACTTCTTCACCCATGTCTTCCAGCAACACAACATCCCGATTGCTATCCTCCTCCATGTCACATGAAGACTCATTACAACAACAATTTTCCACAATGAATTTGTCTTCCTCATCATCCCATATGTACAACAGTACCCTGGATACAACCACACAAAGTTCCAGCACCGCCAACTCCTCATCGAAACCGGAGAAACGTAAAAAACGTTGGAATTTCTTGGGCCGTAGTAAAACTCCCGATAAACAAAAATCCGCCACTTTGGGTAGGGAAAAGGCCTCAAATACCACGAAGTTGCAGAAAATTAAATTGGCCCAGGACGATTTGAATTTGCATCATCGTTGGTCAACAGGAGTGCCAAAACTGCAACCGATATCCGGACAATTTTCAAAAGATAAATTGGTAAGTAAATCAATAAAAAAACACAAAAACATTTCAAAATACGAAGTTTTGTAACTCCCCCTTCCTCTCTTGCAGAGCCAAATACTCAACGATAAACTAAATGATTCCCAGCTCTTTATGGAATTCGAAGGCATACCGAAACGTCGTGATATGGCCCGCTATGATTGTGCCCTACTCGAAGAGAATGCCATGAAAAATTCCGATCCCAATTTTCTACCCTATGAAGATAATCGGGTGCGTCTAACGCCTACAATGGAAAATCGGCATGGCTATGTCAATGCCTCGCATATTTCGGTGGGTATTCAGAGCCTCTAAGCCTCCTAAGGTTTTCTAATTTTTCCACTTGATTTTCAGGCCACCGTTGGCAACAAACAACGTTTCTATATTGTGGCCCAATCACCCCATGAAGAGCTAACAACACGCATATTTTGGCAATGCGTCTGGGAAGCGGATGTATATTTAATTGTCCAATTATCGGAAGATTTGAATTATATACCGCCAAATACCAATCAACGAATGGAGTTTGGTCAGGTAAGTCATTTGGAAAACGATTATTTTCACCCATAATTTCCAACATTACAAATTTGGTGTCAATGGGAAACTTTTTCTATATCGAATTTTATTAGGGGTCCCTGCAGAAAAGAAAGCGGAATATTTAATCGATGTATAGAAAATATATCAAATTAAATTTGTTAAATATAAAAGGAAAGCTATATTTTCATGAATTGCAGGGTTATGTAGGTTGGCCTCGATTTGACCCTTAATTTTCAATATTAGAAAGTTGGTGTCAATGAAAAACTTGTTCAATTTCAAATTTCATTAGGGGTACCTGACGAAAAGAAAGTGGAATATTTACTCGGTATATAAAAAATATATCAAATTAAATTTCGTATATAGAAAAAATGCATATTTTCTTGAATTTCATTCCGAATTTTATCCCATATATGAAAAATAAATCAATTTAAAATTCGTATATAGAAAGGAAATTTATTTTTTCTTCAATTTCAAGGTTATGTGGGTCGGTGCCAATTTGGTCCATAATTTGTAGTTTAAAAGGTTTGTGTGAATGGGAAAATATTTCTAAATCGAATTTCATTAGGGGTCCCTGAAGAAAAGAAAGTGGAAAAATTACTCCATATATGAAAAATTTAACAATTAAAATTTCTTTTCTGATACCATGACCCGCCAAATATTTTTTTTAATTTATAAAATCCTCAACCCTGTTGGCCCTTTTCAATTCCTTATAATAATTGCTTCCTCTGTGTTTATACTCTCTTCCATTATAGTTCCAGGTTTATCAGGAATTCTCACAAACTACCGACCGTTGTATAACCAGTAAACTGCGTCTTTATCACATACAATCACGGCGTTATCGTTCCGTATGGCATCTCAACTATACCGATTGGGGTGAACAAAATTGTCCACGTGATGTAAATCATTTTTTGGATTTCCTCGAGGAATTGAATTCGGTGCGTATGGCTTCAATAAATGAAGTACCGCCCGGTCATAATACAAATCCACCAGTTCTGTTGCATTGCCTTGAGGGTGGCGGTCGATCAGGTGTTACATTGACAGCGGACTTGTTGCTCTATACCCTAGATCACAATGAGGTTTGTAAAGAGGATTTTTTTTTTTGATTTCACATCCGGAGGTCTCATGTTTTTTGTTTTGTCTTCCTCTACAGGATTTGGATATACCCCGTGTCATTGGAAATTTACGACATCAACGCGACAATATTATACCATCTTTGGCTCAATATAAATTTATTTATAGTCTGCTCATAACATATCTAAAACGAACGAGATTAATTTGAAATCTGTATTTTCGATTATTTAACTTTATTGTAATTTAAAAAATTTTTGTTCAATTTTTTTTTTGGGATCTTGAAATCCTTTTTGTATACAACGATTTTTTTATACACTACTTATAGCAATATAATTGCATATTGAAATTAGTTTAATTTATTACACTCTATTATTATTATAAAAAATAAGAATTCGAACAATTTTCATTTTCCGTCTTCAATTTTCCTCTCTCTACTACTTTCTACTGGGGTGCTGAAATCTTTGACACCCCCGTATTCTACAAAAAAAGTCCTACTCTGCTTTCATGTATATATACACTATTCATTTTTATTCGAAAAAAAAACAAACTATTCTAAAACAATTTATATATTTTTTTATTATTTATATATATAGCATAGAATGTATGTATTTTTTAATTAATTATATCTTGTTTTCGAGTATCAAAGAAATTTAAAATAGAGTGAAAAAATCCAACAAGTTTAATAGCCAACAGCTTCCATTATCCCCTATCATTATTATTCATTGTTGCAAGAAAAATGTTCATTATTCATCAAGTTCTTTCTTGTTGTTAGTGATTTAAGTTTAAGACAAAAAAGAAACAGAGTTAATAAGCAATTATTTGTGCCTTGTATTACATAAAGAAACACAAACTTTAAGTTTATATTATATATACAATAAAAAATATACAATTAGAAAAAAAATAAAGAATCATAGTTCTTTAAAAATGTGTTTGGGGTTTGGTTACAATTTGACCCATAATTTTCAATTTTAGAAGGTTCATGTCAATGGAAATTTTTTTGTGCATCGAATTTCATTAGGGGTCTCTGAAGAAAAGAAAGTGGAATTTTTACTCTGTATATGAAAATTATATAAATTTAAATTTCGAAAATATTAAAAGATTTAAAACATATATACATATTTGTGCATTTCAAGATTATGTAGGTTGGTCTCAATTTGACCCATAATTTTCAATATTACGAAGTTGGTGTCAATGAAAAACGTGTTCAATTTCAAATTTTATTAGGGGCCCCTGAAGAAAAGAAAGCGAAATATTAACTCGGTATATGACAAATATATTAAATTAAATTTCATATATAGAAGGGAATGCATATTTTTTTTAATTTCAAGGTTATGTGGGTCGGTGCCAATTTGACCCACAATTTCAAATATTAGGAACTTTGTGTCAATGAAAAACTTGTTCAATTTCAAATTTCATTAGGGGACCCTGAAGAAAAAAATAGGAATATTTACTCAGTATATGAAAAATACATCAATTTGAATTTCGTGTATATAAAGAGAATGGGTCTTTTTTTAACTTCAAGGTTATGTGGTTCGGTGCCAATTTGACCCATAATTTTCAATATTAGGAAGTTGGTGTCAATGAAAAAAAAAATGTTCAATTTCAAATTTCATTTGGGGTCCCAGTAGAAAAGAAAGCGGAATATTTACTCGGTATGTGAAAAATATATTAAATTAAATTTCGTATATAAAGAGAATGCATTTTTTGAATAATATGGGTTTTGTGAGTTGGTCTCAATTTGACGCATAATTTTTTATTTTAGAAAGTTGGTGTAAATGGAAAACTTTTTCTAAATCAAATTCCATTAGGAGTCCCTGAAGAAAAGGAAGCAACATGTTTACGCTATATATGAAAAATACATTAATTTAAATTCCCTATATATAAAAACGAATACATATTTTTTTGTTATACATATTTCAAGGTTATGTAGGTTGGTCGCAATTTAACCCCTAATTTGCAATATTAGAAAGTCGGAGTCAATGGAAAACTTTTTCTAAATCAAATTTCATTACGGATCACGGAAGAAAAGAAAGCGGAATATCTGCTCCATATATAAAGAAATAATGAATTTAAATTTCATAAAAGCATATTTTTTTAATTTTATGGTTATGTCCATTTGATCCCAATTTGATTAATAATTTTCAATATTTGGAGGTTGGTGTCAATGGAAAACTTTCTATATCAAATTCCATTAGTGGTCCCTGAAGAAAACAAAGCGGAATATTAACTCTATATATGAAAAATATTCAATTTAAATTTCGTTTATATAACAGGAAATTTTAAGGTTATATTTGTTTTGTTTCAAATTTAAATATTAGGATGTTGGTGTTAATGGAAAACTTTTTCTTGGAAAAATAAAACTCATTGATTTTTTATAAATAATGTTTACTACAGTTTTTGTTTATTTGTTTACCATCAAAAAATGTTTTTAATTAATAAAATGGAAATGTTTTTTCTTTATCCGTTGGGATTTGTTTTTTTAATAAAACTTTTTTTGGATTAAGGGCAAACATTTTTTTGTAAAGCAATATTTAATATTTCCTTTTGTTATTTATCAACATGCAAATATATAATAAAAATTTTTGATTTTTTTTTTTGTTTGTTTTTCAAATAATTTCTCAAGTTATTTGGCAGCTTTTTTTTATAAAGAACAAAAAAAAAAAAAAACAATAGAGAGAAATAAAACTTTTATTTTGAAATTGTTTTTTATTAATGGTGTTTTTTATGATGAATGTAAAGGTAATTACAAAAAGAAAATGTACATAATTAAAATTAAATTTGTTGTTATTTTAATACAATTTAAATTATTGTGTATAATTTAATTTTTCATTTATATAATCTTCATTCGTTTATTTATTTAAAAACTAAAAACAAAACAAAAATTAAAATTAAAGAAATAATTATGACTATGTTGCATTATTCTTCTATAACATATATATATATGAATGATTGGTCGTTGATGGTAGGCATGGATGATAAAGGATGGATGCATGATGTTTTTTTCGACTTAAAATATAATTTAAATTAAATTTGTTTTTATTTTTTTAACATAATATTGTTTTATTTGAGTTTGTTTTTTCAAAGATAAATACAGAATTCAATTCCTTTATTAATTTATAAAAAAATAATTTATATATATATATATATATATATATATATGAATTTCTTATATTTAGGAAAATATCAAGCAAAATATATTTTTATAGCAATATCAAGAGTGGAAGATGGTGGGTGACAATGCTATTGATATAGATTGTCTTACCCTTGGCGGAATTGTTGCCATAATCAAGAGGACCAGTTAGAAAAAAAATTGCATATGTGCATTTGGGCCCAATTTGACCCATAATTTGTTCATTGGGGATCTTGATATAGATTGTCTTACCCTTGGGGAATTGTTGCCATAAACACGAGGACCAGTTAGAAAAAAAATGCATATGTGCATTTGGACCAATTAATTTGTAATATTAGAAAGTTGCTGTCAATGGAAAACTTTTTCTAAATCGAATTTCATTGGGAGTCCCCGAAGAAAAGAAAGCGGTATATTTATGCTATATGTTAAAAATATGTGAATTTAAATTTCGTATATATGAAAAGAAAAGCCTATTTTATGAATTTCAAGGTTATGTAGGTTGGTCCCAATTTGACCCATAATTTGTAATATTAGAAAGTTGCTGTCAATGGGAAACTTTTTCTAAATCGAATTTCATTGGGAGTCCCCAAAGAAAAGAAAGCGGTATATTTATGCTATATGTTAAAAATATTTGAATTTAAATTTCGTATATATGAAAAGAAAAGCCTATTTTATGAATTTCAAGGTTATGTAGGTTGGTCCCAATTTGACCCATAATTTGTAATATCAGAAAGTTTCTGTCAATGAAAAACTTTTTCTAAATCGAATTTCATTAGGGGTCCCTGAAGAAAAGAATGCGGAATATTTACTACATATATGAAAAATATATAAATTTTAATTTCATATATACAAAAGAAAATGTACATTTTCTTGAATTTTAAGGTTATGTAGGTTGGTCCAATTTGACCCATAATTGTAATATTAGAAAGTTGCTGTCAATGGAAAACTTTTTCTAAATCGAATTTCATTAGGGGTTCCTGAAAAAATAAAAGTGGAATATTTACTCTATATATGAAAAATATATGAATTTAAATTCCGTAAATGTAAAAGAAAATTTACATTTTCTTGAAATTCAAGTTGGTCCCAATTTGACCCATAATTTGTAATACTAGGAAGTTGGTGTCAATGGAAGACTTTTTCTGAATAGAATTTTATTAGGGGTCTCTGAAGAAAATAAAGCGAAATACTTTATATAAAAAATATATACATTTAAATTTTCTTGAATTTCAAGGGTATGTAGATTGGTCCCAATTCGACCCATAATTTGTAATATTAGAAAGTTGCTGTCAATGGAAAACTCTTCTATATCGAATTTCATTAGGAGTCCCTGAAGAAGTGATAGCGGTATATTTATTCACAATATGAAAAATATATGAATTTAAATTTCGCATTTTTTTTTTTTTAATTTAGTAAGTGTTAGCTTGTTGCCGTTGATGTTATTTTGAATTTGTGGTCTTGTTAGATTTAACTGGACCTCTCAATTATGGCAAATACCTTCTTCCACTTTTTAGAGGTCTTATTTTTTATTTATTTTTTGCAATGCCCATTTTCTTGGTTTTTGGTTTATCTTTTTTTTGTAATTAATAAAACTTGTAAATATATATATATTTATGTATATTAGACATTTATTTGAGTTTGTTTTTTGTTTTTTTTTTAATTATTGAAAAATATAGAATATATTTAATAAAAATATAAATATATATTTTTTTAAATTACTTTTCACTTTTTTTTTAATATACTTTGTGTGTGTTTTACAATAATAATGCAATAATTTACAACAATAGTTTTTCGTTTTGGTAATTAATTACAAACTTTTACATGATAGATTGAAATGTTAAAGATTTTTTTCTTTTTAATTTGTGTTATGTATATATAAATAAATGTATATTTTTTAAATTTATTTTTATTTTTTAAATATCATTTGATTTAATCTTTTCTGGCGCATATGTATTTTTTTGTAAAGTGTGTATATATTTAGTTTTGTAAATAGAGAGAATATGTCTGTATTTGAGAGTGTAAATAAATTTATTTTGCATTTTGAATTTTTTTTTGTTTGTTTTTCATTTTTCAAATGAAAATCACTTGTACTATTCTTTGTCTTTATTATTTTTTTTTTAATATATGGATGTATGACGTTTCTTTATTGTTTTGTATGTTTGTGTGCTTTATGATAGAAAAAGATGTAATTATTAGAATTATTTGTAGGGAAACAAATGTAATATAATTTTTGGAGACCATATATTGGCTTGGATTTTTTAAAAAATATTTTTTGGAGACTTTAAAATAGGCGTGAAAAATATATTAATTCAAATGAAAATTTTCTTAAATTTTAAGGATATGGGAGTTGGTCCCAATATGACCCATAATTTGTAATTTTTGGTGTCAATTGAAAACTTTTTTTATATCGAATTTTATTAGGGGTCGCTGAACAAAAGAAAGTGGAAAATTTAATATATATATATATATATATTTAATAACCTTGAAATTTATTTTCTTAAATTTCAAGGTTATGTGCGTTTGGTCCAATTTGACCTTTCGGTTAAGTCTCAAAAAAATATATTTAAAAGATCCACGTCTTTTTTCAATTCTTGAAAAAAATCACGACGTCTTTAAAAAATATTTTTATTCCATAAAAAATATTTCGTTTCATGGTGAAGTTCCTTTTCATATCGCTTTAACGAAGTTTAAAATGTCAATAATATTTTTTCGAGATTTTAAGAGATGAATATTGAGTTTTCCGGTTTAATTTAAATTTACGTTTAAATATAATATAACAAATATTTTTAATAATTACATCTTCTTTTATAAAAAATATATATTTTTTGTTTAGAAAAAAAGTTCAAGTAGTTTCCCCTCCCTAAAATCATATATTTTTTTGTGTACTTGATTTGTATTACTGGATGGATAGATGATGGTTGGATAGGAAATGAAGAGGATGGTTTGTTCATCATACCTTACGTCGGGATAGGATCACACAAAAAATATTCACATTTGAATATTCATAATTTTGAAATAATAAAAAAATGAAAAAAAGCTACTGGAATACCGGTGCGATTCAAAATGATACCTCTTATCGAAAACCTCTATGGAAAAAGTTTCAACAAATTTCCAAAATTTTAACCAGATATTCAATTATTGAAATAGTGATCCAAAGTCGATGGCAGGTATGTTCACCTCCTTCAACACTAAATTTACGATAATTTTTATTTGTATTGGTGTAAATAATAAATAAATTAAAAATATGTAACAATATGTAAAAACGTCTAGTCTGTAAAAAGACCACAGGTCACTATAAAAGTCAATTGGTTTGTATAGAGACCAAAGGCCTTTATAGAGACAGATTTGTCTGTATAGAGACCAAAGGTATTTCTATAGACCAATTGATTTGCATAGATATCAATTGGTATTTAAAGACCATTTAAATTGGATAAATCAACATACAAATTTATTTTTTGTGGTTATGAGGTTGGCCCCAATTTGACGCATAATTTTCAATATTAGGAAGTTGGTGCCAATGGAAAACTTTTTCTAAATCAAATTTCATTAGGGGTCGCTGAAGAAATGAAAGCGGAATATTTACTCTATATATAACAAAATATATAAAATTTAAATTTCATATATATAAAAAGGAAATTTACATTTTCTTAAATATCAAGGTTATGTGCGTTTGGTCCAATTTGCCCCATAATTTGTAGTTTTAGAAGGTTGGCTTCAATTGAAAACTTTTTCTTAATCGAATTTTATTAGGGGTAGCTGAACAAAAGAAAGCGGAATATTTACTCCATATATGAAATATATTAATTTACATATGAAATGTATATTAAAGGAAATTTACATTTTCTTAAATTTCAAGGTTATGTGATTTGGAACCAAAATTTTTAATTTTACATTGTTGGTGTCAATGGAAACCCTTTTCTAAATCGAATTTTATTAGGGGTCACTAAAGAGCCATAATTTATATAAAAAAATTAAAAATTAAATTTCATATATATAAAAGTTTTTCTAAAATATCAATTTGTTTGGTCCAATTAGACCCAAATTTGTAATTTTTTTGGTGCCAGTTGAAAACTGTTTCTTTGTTGAATTTTATTAGGGGTTGCTGAACAAAAGAAAGTAAAATATTTACTCTATATAGAAAAAGATATATCAAATTAAATTTCATATACAAAAAAGTAAATTTACATTTTCTTGAATTTCAAGGTTATGTGAGTTGGTCCAAATTTGAGCGATTATTTTTAGTTTTAGAAGGTTGGTGTCAATGGAAACATTTTTCTATATCGTATTTTATTAGGGGTCGCTGAAGAAAAGAAAACGAAAAATTCGCTCTATATAGGGAAAATATACAATTTTTAATTTCATATATAGAAAAGGAAAATTGCATTTTCCTAAATATCAAGGTTATGTGAGTTGTTGCCAATTTGACCCAAAATTTCGAATTTTAGAAGTTTGGTGTCAATGGAAAACTTTCTATATCGTATTTTATTAGAGGTCGCTGAAGAAAAGAAAACGAAAAATTCGCTATATATATGAAAAATATATCAATTTAAATTTCATATATATTTAAAAAAATGTTAAATTTTCTTGAATTTCAAGGTTATGTGAGTTGTTGCCAATTTGACCCATAATTTGTAATTTTAGAATGTTGGTGTCAATGAAAAACTTTTTCTATGTCGTATTTTATTAGGGGTCGCTGAAGAAAAGAAAGCGCAATATTTACTCTATATATGAAATATAAATGAATTTAAATTGCATATATTTTTAAAGAAATGTAAAGACCAATTGGTCTGTATAGAGACCTCGGGTGTTTATAGAGACCTCAGGTCTTTATAGATACCAATTGCTCTGTATAGAGACCTTGGGTATTTGTAGAGACCTAGGGTATTTATAGATACCAATTGCTCTGTATAGAGACCAAAGGTCTTTATTAGCATAATATGGTCTGTATAGAGACCAATTGGTTTGTTTGTTTTATTTTTTTTTAATATTGTTACATATTTAAAATTTATTAATTTTTCAAAAGAAATAAATTAAAAAAAGATTTCGTTATTGTATTTGTTACTTTTTGTTCTTATTGTTTGTTATTTTTTTTATTATTCATAATCATTTAACATTATTATTGTTTGTATATATAGATTATATTTATGTACATGGTACAAGGTATGTGGATAAAGTTTTTTTTTTTTTTGTAATTGAAATAACTAATAAAAAATAATAATAAATTTTATAAAAAAGGGGAGAGAGAGACAGACTCTTACGATAAAAATGAAGGGAGTTATACACACTTTAATAATGAGGGGAAGGGGGATTTTTAAAATATTAAAGTTATATTTTTTTGTGGCGCATTTCGAGTTTTGTTGGCATGATGTTTAATGAAAAATGAGAGGGAGGGGTCGGTCTTGGATTGAAATTTAAAACTCTATGCAAATCAACGATGAGTTTATATATATATTTTTAAAAAAGTTTGTATATATATGTATGTATATAGTTTACTATTTTTTTCTATAAATATATGTATGTTGAAACGAAAATATACAAAGAAGGCATTTTTTGTTTTTGCAAAAAGAGGGAAGTATTTGCTTACATTTTGGCATGGATTTGTTGTTGTTTGTTTGTAATATGATTTGTATATATTTCTGTATGTACGAATGTTTTGTCTTTCTATGTAAATGTACACGTTTTTTTTTCTGCCAGAGGCTTGTTGTGTTTAAGAAAAGTGAGAATTTGATTTGTTTTTGTTTAACTTAAATTAACACTTAGTTTAAGTATAAATTATGTATATATATGTATGTGTGTTTGTTTGTGTGTAGCCTGATTCGAGTTTTTTTGTTTGTTTGCTTGTTTCATTTGTATATGTATTATTATATATAAAAAAAAAATTATTAAAATATAAACATTTTTTTCTTGCAATTTGTTAGGAAATAGTTTGTTGTTGTTCTTGTTTAAAGGTGCTACAAGCCATTATGAGAGAGCACAACTTATTGGTTTATTATAAAAAAATATTGAAATAAAATTTAAAAAATTACGAAGAAGACGAGCGTGGAGGCAAAAAATTGTACATTGGTAAGTCTTTTAAAGGTTATGTTTGTTTCTTTTTTTAGTTATTATTGTTTGTTCAATGTTATAATAAAGTGGTCTTTATATAGTTTTAGATTTGTATTTAGTCTCTCTTCTTCATTTTTTTGTTTAGTGTAAATTTGGCGGAATTTTTTCTTAGTTGTTTGTAAAACTTAATACTAAATTTTCTTTTGTTTTGTTTTTAAATAATAATAGTAATAATACATACATATATTTTTTTACATAATTTCAAAATATATGATATATATACTATATATAGAAAAAAAAGTTACATTAAATACAAAAAAATTATGGTATAGTGGTATAGCTTAAAAAATAATAGAATTTGATAAGTAGTTTGTTTTTGTTTGTAGATATTTTTAAATGTTTCGAGTTTCTCTCATGCTATTGGTTTTCAGACTGTCTGAGGAGGTCCGCCTGCAGACTAATATGTGTGACGACCAGGGATGGGGTTTCTTCACATTTTTTACACCAACGAAAAAAATCCAATCAAATTAATTTTGAATCACATTCATTACCAAAACCAATATATTTCTGGATCCATACACACACACAACCTTAAATAGTGATGATTTTTTTCTAGTTTTTTTTTTCTTATTGACGAAAACATCGAAAAAATTTGGCATATCATTTTTAAACTAAAAAGGAAAAAGAAAAAAATTAGTATTTTTTTTTTAATAAAAAATAAATCTTATTTTCAACTCACCTTTTTTTAATATTTAATAAATAATACATAATTACATAATTTTTTATTGGTTCATAGGTGGCGGCATTGGGCACATGGGACAACCGGCGGGGGCACCTTTAAAGAAAATTCAAAAGAAAAATTCTAGTAAATGGAGAAAAAAGTTGTATTAATAAAAACAATTTAAGGAAAAATTAAAAAAAAAAAACAAAAAAAATAATATAAAAAATGATAAAAAAATAAATAATATTAAAATATAAAAATATTGAAAAGTAATAAAAAATAAATAAAATATAAAAACAATATAGGAAAATAAAATGATAAAAAAAATAAAATAAATAATAAATAAAAAAAATATTGAAAAGTAATGAAAAAATAAATAAAAAATATATAAAAACAATATAGAAAAAAAATAAATAAAAATAAAGTAGAAAAATTAAATTTTTTAAGGAGTAGATTTTTTAAATAAAATTTTTTTTAAGACCCTAACAAGTTGGAGATAATCCACAAGGTGTGCATTTTTGAAAAAATCAAGGTTTTACACCAGGCGTAAATTTGTTAAATAATTTTTTCAAACACCTACACAGTAAGGAAAGTTGTAAAGTCGGACTGGGCCGACTATATGATACCCTTCACAACTTTGGGTATATTCTATACACGTATCCTAAAAGACGTCGTGTTTTTGTTATATATTTATATCTGAACCGATTTCAGGGAAACTTGCCAGAGACTAATTTATATTACTTAAGTACGTTGTGTCATTCGGCCTAGCTATGGATCTTTTCATTAGCAACATTATTCTAGACTTAATTCAGTACCCTATACCAAAATTCGTGCAAATCGAAAGATATATAGGTACTTTGGTACGCCATTTACCTTAAATCGGATGAAACTATGGATATGGGACCTATATCTAAATCGGAACCGATTTTCACGAAATTTAACACACGTCATTCTAGACCTAATTCAGTACGCTATGACAAATTTCGTGCAAATCGAAAGATATATAGGGACTTTGGTGCGCCAATTACATAAAATCGGACGAAAATATATATTGGAGCTATATCTAAAACTGAACCGATTTTCACGAAACTTAGCATATATTATTATAGACGCAATTCAGTACGCTATGCCAGATTTCATGTAAATCGAAAGATATATAGGGTTTTTGGTGCATCAATTACCTTAAATCGGATGAAAATATATATGGGAGCTATATCTAAATCTGAACCGATTTTCACGAAATTTTGCACACATCATTCTAGACTTAATTCAGTACCCTATACCAAAATTAGTGCAAATGAAAAGATATCCAGGGACTATTTACCTAAAATCGGGTGAAACTATATATAACAGCTATATATCTAAATCTGAATCGATTTTCACGAAACTTTGCACACACCTTTCTAGACCTTATTCATTACTCTGTGTCAAATTTCGTGCAAATCGAAAGATATATAGGGACTTTGGTGCGCCAATTACATAAAATCGGACGAAAATATATATTGAAGCTATATCTAAATCTGAACCGATTTTTCCCAATTTCAAAAGGGTTCGTCCTTGGGCCAAACAAATGAGCTGCGCCAATTTTCATCCAATTCGGATCATAAATGCGACCTGTACTTTGTTTACAATTTAACAGACGGACGGATATGCATAAATCGACTCAGGAAGTGAATTCCCTCCCTCATTAGACAACTGTACCCAAAAATTAAAAAGAAAATCAAATTTCCTTTTCTATATCTAAATCTGAACCGATTCAAATAGGGTTCATCCTTGGGCCAAACAAATGAGCCGTGCCAATTTTCATCCAATTCGGATCATAAATGCGACCTATACTTTGTTTACAATTTAACAGAGACAACAAGACGTAGATTTTTTTTCTGAGACCCCAACAAGGCGTAGATTTTTTAAATAATTTTTTCAGGGACCCTAACAAGGCGTAGATTTTGTTAAATAATTTTTCAAGGTCCCTAAGAAGGCGTAGATTTTTTTAAATATTTTTTTTAAATAATGTTTTCAGGGACCCTAACAAGGCGTAGATTTTTTTAAATAATGTTTTCAGGGACCCTAACAAGGCGTAGATTTTTTTGAATATTTTTCTTTAAATATTTTTTTTAAATAATTTTTTTTAGAGATCCTAACAAGGCGTAGATTTTTTAAATAATTTTTTCAGGGATCCTAACAAGGCGTAGATTTTTTTAAATATTTTTTTTATATAATTTTTTCAGGGACCCTAACAAGGCGTAGATTTTTTTAAATATTTTTCTTTAAATATTTTTTTAAATATTTTTTTCAGGGACCCTAACAAGGCGTAGATTTTTTTTAATATTTTTTTTTTTAATTTTTTAAGAGGTCAGAATAAGGCGTACATTTTTTAAAGATTTTTTTCAAAGGTCTACACAAGGCGTAGATTTTTAAAAGATTTTTTTCAAGGGTCTGCACAAGGCCAAGATTTTTTAAATAATTTTTTTAAGGGTATTGAAATTTTTTTTTAATTTATTTCCCCTCTCATTAGACAACTGTACCAAAAAATTAAAAAGAAAATCAAATTTCCTTTTCTGTTTCTTTTTTACCTTTCCTTCATTGTTTGTCGAGGTTTTCTCCCCCACCTCCTCCTTCTCCCCTCCTTCGCTTTACCCAAACTTACCATGCATATTGGAATGTCTATGATTGTGGTGGAGCATTGCTGCAGCTGTGGCATATGGCGGAGGCATGGCCACCGGTGACAATGGTCTACTGTTCATATGTTGGGGCGGTGGTAATGGTGGCGGATGTGGTGAAATGTTACCGCCGCTACCAATACCGCCCACACCCACACCACTACCAGGTTGCTGTGGTGGTGGTGGATACATGGGCATATTTTGTCCTCTCATTAAATATGGAGGTGGCGTTGGTGTCAACGGTGGCTGTTGTTGTTGTTGTGCATTCATTAATTGGGGTGGCGGTGTCGCTGGGTGCTGTAGTTGTTGTTGTTGGTGATGGTGTTGATGTTGTTGCTGTAGTGTATGTAGCTGTGGCGATAATGCACGTGTAGAAGTATTGCACGAATTATTTATATTACGTGGTGTCGACGACGTCGTCGACGCTGCTGCTGCTGCCGTATTCGAGATCTGCTGTAACAGACGGCAATCGGCCGCTGTATAAACAGACGATGAAGAACTTGTATCGTGTTGAGCATACGAAGAGCCATGCCCACTATCATTTGAGGATACCGATCCTGATTTTGATTTATGGAGGAAATTGGAGGAATGGAAAAACACAATTTTCAAGTGGCGAACGAAAACACAGAAGAAAAATAAAATTGGAATTTTTGTTTATTTTTTGTTGTTGTTGTCGTTATTGTTGTTTAATTAGTGTTTATTTTATGTGAGTGTGTGTGTGTTTAGTAAATAAACTATGTAAATGTGTGTGCGTTTGTGTTCAGTGCAAAAGAAAAGTGCATTAGGGAGCAATAGAAATTGAAGCCATTGCAGCGAAAGAGTAGATGAAAGACAGAGAGAGAGAGCTGTTAGAAGCAAAAATGGGCAAGAAATCGATAAAAATGTTATCGAAAAAATTTAAATTTAAAAATTGAGAAAATAATAATTTCTTATCCATCGACTTAAAATATTTATTGATCAACCTTTACATTGAAAAAGTTGTTATTTAAAAATTGAGAAAATAATAATTTCTTATCCATCGACTTAAAATATTTATTGATCAACCTTTACATTGAAAAAATTGTTATCGATAACATTTTCTGTAGAAAATGTTGTTATCGATCAACTTTCAAAATTAAAAAATTTTATCGATCTGCATCGATCGATCACATATTCTACAGTAAATAGTTTTTTATTGCATGGCTTTACATGGAAATATTGTTATCGAATAATCTGTGCAGAAGAAAAGTAGTTATCGATCAATTTTTTCTATAGAAAAGTTGTTATCGATTAATATTCCTGTTGGAAAAGTTATCGATAAAAATTTTTTAATGAAATATTTGTTATCGATTGCAGAAAAAGTTCTTATCGATTAAATTTTCGATAGAAAAGCAAGTTATCGATCAACTTTTTTTGTTGTAAAACTTTTTATCGATCGAGAAATTGTTATTATCGATTAGTTATTTTATAAAAATCTTATTATCGATAAATATTTCTGTAGTTAAGTTAATTATCGATCAACCTTTATTTAATGGAACTAGTTATCGACCGAAAAGAGTTATTATCGATTAGTTATTTTATAAAAATCAAATTATCGATAAATGTTGCAGTAGAAAATGTTATTATTGACAAAATTTTCAGTGGAAAAATATTGTTATCGATTACCTTTTCTAAAGGAAAACAAATTATCGATAAACTGTTTTGCAGTAAAACTTGTTATCGATCGAGAAAATGTCATTATCGAATTGTTAATTTTATAAAAAATCTTATTATCGATAATTATCTCTGTAGAAAAATTAATTATCGATCAACTTTTCTTTAATAGAATATAGTTATCGAACAAAAAAAAATATATATATAGTCGATTTGTCATTTTTTATAATTAGTTATTTTATTTATTAGAAATGTTGTTATCGATTACATTTTCTATAGAAAAACAAACAATTTTATTAGTCGTCAATTTTATTGTAGTAAAACTTGTTATCGATTAATTATTTTATAAGAATCGATTAGTTATTTATGAAAAATCGTATTATCGATACATTTACAATGTTATCGATTACATTTTGTATAGAAAAACAAATTATCGATCAATTTTATTGTAGTAAAACTTGTTATCAGTCGAGAAAATGTTGTTATCGATTAGTTATTTTATAAAAACTCTTATAATCGATAAAAATTTCTTTATGAAAGTTAATTATCGATCAATTTTTTTTTAATAGAATAGAGTTATCGACCGAAAAAAGTTATTATCGATTAATTATTTTATGAAAAATCGTATTATCGATACATTTACAATGTTATCGATTACATTTTCTATAGAAAAACAAGTTATCGATCAACTTTTTTGTAGTAAAACTTGTTATCGGTCGAGAAAATATCGTTATCGATTAGTTATTTTACAAAAAATCTTATTATCGATAAATAAAGTTAATTATCGATCAATTTGTATTAAATAGAATAGAGTTATCGACCGAAAAAAGTTATTATCGATTAGTTATT